GACCCCGAAACAGGGGCGCCCCCGCGGTTTCCCCAGGGCGCCAGCCAGCGAAACCAGTCACCCACGTCTCGTGTAGCGCTGCCACCGCGCGGGTTGGGGTCCAGGGCGGGCGCGGGCCTCCTTGGTCCGCTCTGTCCAGCCCCCCCCCCTCTCCTCGGCAGCGGCAACAGTCCTTCCCCTCTCCGCGTCGCCCCCCCCCGCCCCCCCCCTCCCCCCCCCCCCCCCCCCGTCCCGGCCGCAAAACTATCCTCTCCCACTGCCACGCGGTTGTTCTGAACTGCGCCTCTTCGGGCGGGCCCTCGCGGCCGCGAACTGCCCTGAAGGGCAGCTGGGAGGGCGGGGGGGTCGAGCGCGCGAGCCTTGGGATGGGGGCGGGGCATCGAGGGATCGAAGGCGCGGGGGAAAACGAGGGGGCGCGGGGGCGGGGGACATTCCAGGAGCCTCAGAACTCAGCGGGCGCACCTCAGGATGCGCGCGCTTCGTCTTCTCGGATGCCTTGAGTCTCCCAGGCCGATCTTTTACAAGAGACCTGTGTTCTCCCGGATTTTGCCGCCCATGGGCTTCATGGGAAGAGAAGCGCCCGGATTCGCAGGTCAACATATCTGGCGCTTCCAAGGTGAGGTCTATCTGGGGGCTCGGGGGGTGCAACGCCGATGTCCTCTCTCTCTCTCTCTCTCTCTCTCTCTCTCTCTCTCTCTCTCTCTCTCTCTCTCTCTCTCTCTCTCTCTCTCTCTCTCTCTCTCTCTCTCTCTCTCAAGCTCAGCTCGCTGGACGCAACTCTCTGAAGCAGGAACATGAGCGGCCCCTTCGACTCCCACCCGGATCGAAGAGTGAATTGTCGTGGGCTCGTCGGCTGGTCGGCAACCAACCTCGACGCAGTCGGCGCCTGATCCCTCATCACTACCTGCTACGAGATCGCGATCTTCATCTCTGCTCGCCGCCTGCAACAATCTCCTGACCACAACCTCTCCACTCACTTTCTCCTGTTCCTCAAAGTCATGACCTCGCGCTCGAGCGGGGCCCTGGGAGCAGCTCCGACCAGGCGGCGGGCGTCGATCTCCCTCGGGATCTCTGTCGGGATCAGCAGACGAGCGGAGCCCGCTGGATGGTGACCCTGCACGCGCACCTGGAACTGCGCTTTGTCATTCATCTGCGCACCGTGGTCGCCCCGGAGCCTTCTCGGCCAAGCAGCGACCGTGCAAGAACGCCCCGTGCAGGTGCTTCTGGGCCCTCCAGTGGCCCCAGAACTTCCCCCACCAGAAATACATCGTTCAGTAATGGCAAGAATGTGAGAGAGCTCGAGGGCCCCATGCGCCTGCCGAAGGCGATGAATAAGCCCCTCGCGCGTAGCGAGCGCGGCCCCGCGGCGCCCCTGCATCCGTCTGCCATGGGCAAGCCTACGAGAGGGAAGTGTTGAGACCGCCCTCCTCAAAAACCTGCGGGTCCTCGAAAAAGAAATCAGATCCTGGCGGGGCGAGCTCGACCGCGACGCGGCGACCCCCAATCACCCCCCTTATCCAGGCAAGCGAAGTCCACGCCGATCTCGAAGGTGAATTGCTGCAAGATAGACCCCCCCCCGCTCCGGCCCGGCAAGAGGCCGCGCCCTCACCCCACCAGGTAAGATCCACCTCGTCATCACGAAACTGCCCAGCCCATGGATTAGCCCCCCGCAGACATTCTCCAAGAAGACCCCCTCCACCTCGTGCGGCGCGGCCCCGGAGGCCGCAGCGATCAGTTGCTTGCGAGACCCAGGCCGTCGCGCGCGCCTGAGGCCATCGGGGCCGTCGAACTCGCCACTCGGTCGCGATCGGCGCAAGCCTCCAAAGCCCTCGGCGCCTCCTCCGTCTTCTGCCACCTCCTTCTGCCGCCCGCCCCCCCCCCCCCCCCCAACTAGCCCCCCCCCCTCGTCGCGCGACGAGCCGGCCCAGCGATGGCCAACTCCAGCGCGCGGGCCCGCGAAGCAGTCAGGACAGACGCCCCCGCCGCTGAGAGAGCAGCATTGAGAACATGGCACAGGAGAACACACCGCTTCAATGAGCGCGGAACTCCTTAGTGAAACCAGACGTGTCCAAGTCTAAAGAAGGCGGTCTAGATGGCTCGCGCTCTGCGAAGAACCAAGTCTGCACTGAAAGTCTGGGCCGGCGTTAACTCTGGACCAAGGCATCTCACCTCATCGGGAACCCTGGTGTCCATCGATAGAAGGGCGGCAGCGGCGCGGCGGCGATAGCTTGACGGCACCTGCAGCCAAAGCCTCTTGCTCCCCGATATTTCTGCGAAGACCGACCCGATGTATTTCTTCATCCAGCATGCGATCGTCGGTTCTGGTCGGTTCCTCGAAGCGGCCGATCCGAAAAGGGGGCCCCGCCGTGATTTGTGCGAGCAAAGCGTCGGCGAACTTCTGGAGCCACACGTAGACCTCATGGGGGCCTGGCAGGAGATCCGCAGGAATGGTGGCCCACCGCCCCCCCCCCCCCCCCTCCTCGTCGCGCTCGTGGAACCTTTCATTCCACCCATCCACGGGCGGCTTGCAAACTCTGACGAACGAGCGCACGGCATAGGGCCCCCCCTGAGGACTTCCACACCCAGGAAGCAAGAAGAGGGCCCTATCTGCTGCAGGAAGAACATATCCCGAGACCTTGCGCCGTCGCCTACAAAGCGCAACGTCTCGGGCTTGAGCCAGGGCCCCGCATGCAGTATCCAGGCTGGGCCAATTAGAATCAAGCAAAAGGTTAGTTCGACTCATAAAGAAATCGCACCACGTAAAACCAGCAGTCGCCACGAAAGACAGACATCGCTAAGTCCGGCATCTTCCCGTCTCCTGAACCTCAGAAACCCGCGGTCGCAAGCAGAGCCCCGGCGCTCGGGGCCCGCCAACATGGGCGCCTCGAAGGAAAAACCCTTGATCAGGGCTTCGAGTCCATGGGCCACTCTCTCCCCCTGCGGCCCAGGAGCGGCTGACCCTGGGATCGCGAAGCCCACGCTGCAATTCCGCGGCGGGGGGGGCGCGCCCCAGAAACGCATCGTCATCAAGGCCTTGTGCAGCCACTGACGCGCGCAGACGGCGTCGGCGATGGCGCTGTCACTGCCCAGACCAGCATGCCGCGCAGAAGCCGTCTGGGGCTCAGGGGTGACCAGGGAGAGGTGCCACACTTCCAAGGGTTGTGGCCGGGGGTAGGTGCACCGCGACGTCTAGCAGCGCGCTTGGCATATGTCTGTAGCAGTTCAATGTCGAGCATGGTGTGATTCCAAGCCTGCTGAAGCCAATCTGGTCGATCCAGGCCTAGCGCGCGCGCGGCGTGCGTGCGGGCGCGCGCGCGCGCGTTTTTTTTTTTTTTTTTTTTTTTTTTTTTTTTTTTTTTTTTTTTTTTTTTTTTTTTTTTTTTTTTTTTGTTCTTTTTTGTTTTGTTTTCTCCTTCTTTTTTTATATATATATATATATACATATATATAAATATATAAATATTAGCTGCCTCGAGCCCTCCATCTCGCCCCATGTTGCCCGATTCGCATGGGGACCTCCTTCTCCCCCAGGGCGAGACAGAACCTCCAGCCACTCATCCGAACTGGGCGTCGCCCCGTCGAGTCTGGAGAAGCCCCGACGAGCGCGACCGTGCCTGGGGCCCGCTTGTCGGAGAGAGAGAGAGAGAGAGAGAGAGAGAGAGAGAGAAACTGTGAATATTAGCCAGATCACAAACCCGCCGAGCCTGCCTGCCATATTTCTTCGACCGGTTGCTCATGACGGCGGCCACGTGCTTCACGACGCAGTCATTTGCAGGCCTGGGAGATCCTCTTCAGCTGCTCGCAGCACTCCAGAATTCGGAATCCGACATGTCAGGCTTGAGTTGTTCCCGGATCAGTCTACGCTGTCGAAGTCGATCCAGCCTCTGTTTCGTCGGCATCAGCCTCCGCGAGCCCCGCTGCGGACCCTTGGAAAAATACACAGCCCCGGACTCCCTCATAACACAGTCCACGCGATATAATATTTTATTTGGATTCGCGTCCACATTCTCAATATGATGCCAGTCCGCCTGGAACCGAGCCTCTACTTCCCTGAAAAATGCTTCTCGGAGCGGTCCCCTGTCAAATTACTCATCAATTTGTCCCGGCCCCTCTTTACTTCAGCATAACACCGTCCATCTGGAGACGAAAGGTGGGCAGCCCTCTGGGCCGCAGCTACATGTCGAACACGAGCCTTGGTCAAGGCAGGCACATGATCTCGGGGCTCTCTGGAACGAATAGCTTGCACGCATCGACCGAGGCGATGGACCAGGTTAGCAATCAACACCTGCTCACCCCACACAAACGGAATCGCGACGAAGTCGATCATACTCGTGCCTCGAGCCGACCCAAAAAACTCGGATAATATGTCCTTCTGCTGTTTGGAACAAAAAAAAACCAGATTCATGCAGCAACTCCCGAACACATTCGCCAGCACCCTCTCTGTGATATTCACGTGTGCGAGCAGCTCCTAACAAGGGGTCTCTACCTTGATACATTCACCACGTTTGACAGTCCCACTCCATCATAGATGTATTCTAAAATATAGGGGCAACTCGTTGGGACAACTTTTGGAGTGCATCCCACACCCCTTGTTTGATTTGTTGACATGCTGCTAGGTATTGTCGGACCAGCTGGGCCTTGTTCGGTCTCGGGGGGGAGTACAGCACGACGACAAAATATAAATAGCCCCCCCTCGAGATCTCCACCGCGAAACCTCTACCTTGAAAAAGACGAGGGGGAAGGAGGATACGCCTGATCGTCTTCTGAAACCACCCAGGAGGTAGAGCAAGACAACAACCCGCGGCTGTGTTGCTAAAGCCTCCCTGCCTCCATCCAGCGTGGATCCGTACCCGTCGGGACTGCTGAACGACACGATATTCCTCCCCATCTATTCCCCTCACCTGCGTACCAGCAAGCCCAATCAGATCAAACTTCTGAAATTCATCCAATAGCTCCGTCATGCGGTCCCCGCTGGCATGCAACGGGTTGAGGAGAAGAGTTGATAGTATACGAGACGCCATCAATCCTGGCTAGTCCGAGGGCCCCAGCTAGTGTCAGGAATGTAACAGGCCGGAGGGGATGGTTCATTGGCCTGATGTGCTGCGCAGCTGGTCAAACCGAAGCGGCAGCTTGGAGGAAGAGGAGAAGGAGGACGAGATAAAAGAGGAGGAGGATGATGAGGAGGAGGGGGAGGAGGAGCAGGATGACTGTGCGTGGACCTCGCCGCCCGAGCACGAGGGTGCGTGGAGCGCGGGCGCGAGGCCCCGAGTTGCCCCGCGTCGCTGCTCTGGGAACAACAGGAAGACACCGGTACCGCCACTGCCCGGACCTCTACGGGGGGGGCTCGCCCACAATAATCCTTCCACACTAAACCCAACCGTTCGCGTGGCCGCCCTCGTCTTCGCCTCTCTCTCTCTCTCTCTCCTGCATGCCGGGCGATTCGCCGATTGGCTGCCCCGATTAGCCCCGCGCTTGTGCGGATTGCCTCCGCCTCCACGCCGACGGCAAGCGTGTGGACGTTTCGTCGGTCTCTCCTCACGGGCCGCGGCCCGATCTCCGCACCTGCCCGCCAGTGTCGCCCGGGAGGGGAAAACAAAGCGAAGGGTATCGCGGTATCGATGCCACCTCCCCCAGGAGGAGGAGGAGGAGGAGGAGGAGGAGGAAAGGGAGGAGGAGGAGGAAAGGGAGGAGGAGGAGGAGGAGGAGGAAAGGGAGGAGGAGGAAAGGGAGGAGGAGGAGGAGGAGGAGGGGGAGGAGGAGGAGGGGGAGGGGGAGGAGGAGGAGGGCAGCCCTCTGGGCCTCACCTCTCCACCACGCAGATGGACCCGCTGTCGAGCCCCACGCCGACGGGCGCGCGCGGCCTGGGCCTCGCCCTCGGCGCCTGGGCCTGGGCCCCGCCGATGGGCTCCTGCCTGCGCTCTGGCTGGTATCGGGGAGACGTAAGACCCGGGTACGGGGGACTCGGAAATCCCCGACGAGGTCGTCAAAAAATGACGAGGCCGAGCCTGCATTTTGACGAGGCCTCCCGCTGCAGACATCCCACGAAACTCCTCCTCGTCAAAATCCGAGGCGCGGTCGTCAAAAAACGATGGCGAACCCGAGTCCCGGCAAACCCGGGTCTTACGTTCCCCCGATGGTAGAAGGCGGCGAACTGCACGCCTGCGACGGGTCGCCCCCGCCGTCGCCGCCAGCGCCGTCGACGCGGACGTCTGGGGCAACAGCGGGGGGGGACCAGCTCGGGGGGGGGGGGGATGCATCCAGCTGGAATCGGCGATACATCGCCGATAGATCGGCGATAGGCCCGCGACAGCAAATCTGCACAATCCTTGCGGGGTGGGCTATCGGGCCCCTATTGGCGATCAATGGGCGATTGGGGGTCGAAGCGTCTCCCCTCAGCCTATCTCCCCCTGCCGTTGCCCCTGAGTCCTTGCTTGGGAGGTTTTCGGGCTCCTCTGGAGGTTCTCACGGCCATTGCTGGGTGCAGCTTGAAAAAAAACACGCCAGGATGGACCTCGGGACGGGTCGGAAGATTCGCTCAAAGTAGTTGTCGGCATCGTCGTTTTCGTCCTCGTACTTCTCCTCCATTCCTTTCCTTATGAATAACTCCTCCCTGTCGCACCCCGAAGCCAGTCGGAAGGGCGGGCTGGGCGTTTCGCTTGAGACATCATCAGCGGGTCGCTTCAAGCTGTGACTCTAGCTATTGGCTCCGCGCCAACCCGTTAGACCATTTACAAGCGTGTCACGGATTGAAGATCAGTGGTTTTCAAAATGTGGTTCTCGCCTTAGCGCCGCGCGCATCCATTTTACTCTAATAACATAATTCGTAGATTGAGGACAAATGGTTTTCAACATGTGGCTCTCGCCTTGGCGCCGCGCGCATCGGTCTTACGTAAATCCGCCGACCCTGTCGGCGTGTGTGGGGGGTGTCTGCCTTGTCCCGTCAACGGGGAGCCTTCTTTCGCCCCGTCCTTCCCATCCTCGTCTCCCGTCGGGGGAGAAAGAGAGAGAGAGAGGAGAAAACAAAAATACCATTCCTCGTTCGGGGAACGGGTTCGCAGCTTGAGAGTATTCCATCCACGTCCTCATTACGTCAAAAGGAAGCCCCTTCCCTTTGTCCCATCCCTGGCGGGGGGGGGTCCTGGGAGGGGAAGGGGTTAGATTCGCATCGCCTCTGGGGGTCCTCCTCTCCCACGCTGGTCCTTCTCCTGCGCACCGGTCCTCCTCAGGTCTTCCTCCACAAGTGGGGAGGTGTCCCATGGAGGGAGGGGGGAGTCGGATACGCATCCGTCCCTGGGGATCCTCCTCCCCCTCCCCTCCCCTCTCCCACCCCAGCCCTCCTCCGGTCCTCCTCCCCAATGGGGGGTCCCAGGGGGGAGTCGTCTTCCTCCTCCTCCTCCTCCTTCTCCTCCTCCTCCTCCTCCTCCTCCTCCTCCTCCTTCTCCTCTTTATCTCCGCCTCCTCCTCCTCCTCCTCCTCCTCCTCCTCCTCCTCCTCCCCCTCCCGGTCGTCGTCAAGATCTTTCAGGGTCGGCGGCACCGGCCGGCCGCCAGACCTTCACAATATGGACAGAGCTTCACGGATGGAGGGCCGTTCCTTATCATCATGCGGCTCTCGCCTTAGCGCCCCGCACATTCATCATTAAGAATTGCAGCAATTTCATAGATGGAGGGTGGGCCGTTTTCAACATGTGGCTCTCGCCGTGGCGCCGCGCATCTTCGCCATTTTTGTTGTTGTTCCCTGTCAAAATGTGGCTCTCGCCTTAGCGCCACGCACATTCGTTTTCAGAGTTAGCGACAGCTTCAAGGATTTTCATGTTTTGACAGGGCGCAACAGTTACGATGATTAGTCATTTCGAAGTCCCAGGAAGTGTCCTGGCGCGACTCAGGATCACCAAGATGCAAAAGTAACGGTGATTCGCGGCGTAAGGTGCCAGGAATTGTGTTTTTGCACAGTTCAGGAGGTCCAAACTGTTGTTTCAAAAGGAGCAGTTCCTTCAGTGACAATGCATGCTTGTAGGGGCCTATGAAAAAAAAGGAGCTTAGAATGACCTTTCTTGTAATATTAGATAGCGCGTTTCACGGGCGCTTGCCTTGGGAACATTCGGCGGCGCGTTTCGAACCGGGGGGGTCCCCCGTGAAAAAAAAATGAACGCCCCAGGGATCCGTTCCCGTTCCCGTTCCCGTTCCCGTTCCCGCTCCCGCTCCTGTTCCCGCTCCCGCTCCCGTCGTCGTCGTCGTCGTCGTCGTCGTCGTCGTCGTCATCCCGTCGTGGTCGTGGTCGTGGTCGTCGTGGTCGTGGTCGTCGTCGTCGTGGTTTCCGTCCACCCTGAAGGGGGGTCAAGAGGGAGGCTCCAGAAAGGCTGCGGACACTTGGAGGCTTGTTGGGCTCTCCTGAGAGGCCTCTCGGGGGCCTATTGGAAACATGTTGCAGGTCTCTTGGGGCCCGTAGGGGTCTTCTTGGGGACGTCGGGGCGGAGGACTTGGGGGTCTCCTGGGAGTTCGTTGGCGGTCTCGGAAGGTCTCTGTCAGACGCCTACGGCGAATCACCGCCGCCCCTTGCCTTTTGGAAACGCCGACGCGGCCAAGCGTTACGGCGAAGTTTGGCCCAGGTGTTGGACCAGGTGTTCCCACAGCCGTTGTTGAAACCCTTGGGGAAAACACTTGGGTAAGGAAGATGGGGGAGGAGCAGGATGGAGGGGGATGATGGTGATGATAACGAAGAGGCACATGAGATGATAAGGATGGGGGGAGGAGGCCTCTTGGAGGCATTTTGGGGCTTCCTGCGGGCTTTTGGAGGCCACTTGGGGCCATCTGGACTCCTTTTCGGGCAATCTTGGCAGTTTTGGAGGGCATCTTCGGTCGCCTCGGGGGCCATGCAGGGCCGTCCTGGCAGTCTTCGACGGCATGCTGGCCGTCCTGGAGGCCACACTAGACCATCTTAGCGCGCTTGAATGCAATCTCTTACGTGTCTTAGGCCATCTTGGGAGCAATCTGATCCGTCCAGGAGGCCATCATGGCCGTCGTGGAGGCCATCCCCCGCGTAGCCCACCCAGCCATGGTTCTGTTAATGCACTCGTGCATATCCAGCTGCCTGCGGCAATTCCCGCCACCGTGGTGATGATGATGATGGTGATGAGGCGGATGATAATGATGATGATGATGATGATGTTGATGATGCTGATGCTGATGATGGGGCTGGTGATGCTGATGACGACGATGATTATGATGACGACGATGATGACGATGATGATGATGGCGATGACGATAACGATGACGAGGATCATGATGTTGATGATGATGGCGATGATGATGCTGATGATGCTGAAGACGATGCTGATCATGGCGATGATGGTGATGATGATGACGACGATGATGATAATGATGATGATGACGATTATGATGATGGTGGTGGTGATGATGACGACGATTCTGATGATGATGATGATGATCGTCGGGACATCGCGGGAATCCTTTCGGGGGCCTGTTGGAGGCAGTTTTGAGGCCTCCTCCATGCCGTCTGGGGGCCTCTTGGGAGCCGCTTGGGGCTTCTGGGGGCTTCTCGGGGGCCTCTTGGGGAGCACTTGGGAGCCTCTTGGGGCTTCTTGGAGGACTCTTGGGGCCTCCTGGAAAACCCCCACCAGACAGCACTTGGCAGTCTAGCGCGCCTCAACGTGCCAGGCGGCGCGGTGGCGGATGCAGCCCAGGGGAACCGGACCATTCCGTAGCCATTGTGGCTCAGGTTTTGACTGTGCAGTCCTTTTATTTGAGCAGATACTTGCAAATGGTAACTTGCGTGTACCTTGTGCTGGGCTCTTTGATGGCAGTCGTTGGCGTGGAAGCAGGTGCTGGGCAGTCTCTAGGGAGTATGGAGTCTGAGAGCGCAAATAATATGAATCTCAAGATTTTCGATTTTGAGCAAAATACTGTAGACCCAGATGTTTCGCCGGAATACACGACTTCTTGTTGCGCTCAGTTTATTGCTGAAGAAATTGCAGAGTTCAGTGGGTGCCAGAACTTGTTCGGACGAGCAAGCGACCTCTGGAGGGATCGCCTTTTGGCTTGCAGGAGGACTTGGGCCATAATTGGCGACGGTGATGGCGCTCGTCCACGATAGCTCTTGGGGGGAAGGGTTTATCGACAGACCTTGCAACCGTATTGTGCGCGGAGGAGCTCATGGGGCATCTTCTTACTCACACCCCCCCGCTCAGCGTTGCGTGCACGGCACCAAAGAAGGACAAGCCGAAGCGGACGACTAAGGCTGTGGGTAACACATTCGGCATTTTTGTCGGACGCCAAGTGTTTGTGGTGGATTCTCACAGGCATTCGCGCGGTCAAGGGGGCATGTGCGTGGCAATGACTGAAGAGGTAGACTTCGTTGCTTTGTCCCATCGGGTATTCAATGTGCTCTTGCCTCTTTCGGGATGCGCAGTAGACCACCTCGACCTGTGTTTTCACGAAGTGAAAGCGCACGCCAGTAGCGCCGAGAGCACCCCAACCCAAGACGCGTCAGGCTCGGCAGCCATTGGCGGCGCAGCGCCGAGCGCTAGCCAGGATGTCTGCGGAAGCCACGCATACACCACCACCGTACCTGGGCAGGGCCATCGCGGGCCCTGGCACGGTGCATGCGCCCTCCGGGCGAAGACCCTAGTCATGGCAGGCTGCGTCTGGGGAGCTGCTCTGGCCATAAGCCGAACCAGGTCTCGATTCTGGTTCTTGGCATCAATATAGATCTTTTCCAAAGACACATGGATCGACAGGCGGGCGAGACTTTTCGGTGGGACTCAGAGAAGGCGGCTGCAGAAGGCGAGGCCGCCCGCAAGGCTTACGCAGCAGGCTTGGAAATGCCCGCTGCGGAGGCGCAAGAGCTCATCTCTCAGGCTGCGACCGTGGGGGGCAGCCCCGAAGATCATGGCAAGTTTTTGGCAGCTGCAGGGGTCGTTGGTGTTGACGACGTGGCTCGTAGAAGCGGGAAGGGCCAGGGCTCCCGCACCCTTGGGGAGATCTTGGAAGCGCAGTGCGACCATTACTCATACTTGCGCAACCGCGCTCTCCGACGTGGCGAGAGGGCACAGAAGCAACAGGAGGAGAACAGTTTTGGAGCTGCGAGCAATGAGGCTTTTCACATGGAAGTAGGTGTGTGGGGACAACGAGTCGCGCGAC